TATAATACAGTCCGTGAATAGTTGAATTAACTGAATCCACTTCTGTTTTTTGCCTAGATAGTCATTATTTTGAGAAGTGATCCAGAAACCGTGTTTTTGAGACATAATTTTTTGTATGGGCTCACGTCAGGGGGTGTGAGCTTGAAATCGTAGCTGACCAAATATATGTTAACAGATTTTTTCTGATGTATAAACATGTTGATTCGTAACTTGATCAGTTTATTTTTTTATTCCGGCATCAAAAAATGTTTAATTTCTCTCGGTCGTGAACAATCAAACCACGACCACAATTTACCGCTGTTATATATGAAACGATCACTACATTTCCAACAATTTCCGGTGTTATTCTGAGACAATCACTTACGTGTATCAACAGCGTTATCTCAAAATCATATGCTGTAATAAATACTACTGTGGGAGACAGGAAAACTCTACTGATGTTTCGCCCGGTTTTTTATATTCATATCTATTATAAGGCCTTGGATATAAAATCGCAATTTCTTAGTAACTGGTTCTTCAGATAAAGATAAGTGCCCCTGAATAAACAAAGGTATGTCAAGCGCAGCTGTCATTTATCGATGTCTCAAAAACACGGTTTCTGGATCACTTCTCAAAATAATGACTATCTAGGCAAAAAACAGAAGTGGATTCAGTTAATTCAACTATTCACGGACTGTATCATACGGATTAGATTGAATTCTATCGAAAAAACCACCGTACTTTTTGAGTTGAATGTACGCTATTGGATGTATTTTACACACAAGAGAAAATGCATGACATAACCGGGGTCAAGCTAAAAAATCGTCTCTCCTTGAAATAAAACAGAACCTGTCAAAAAAACAGAAGTGGGTTTGAAAACCCCGGCCGCTTTCCTGAACATTTTGGTATATAATTCATAGGAATTTGTTAAAATTTGGAACCGTATTTTGGTTGATTTTATAAGCTCATACTATCTGTTGGCTATTCATTTGCCTCTTATGGTTTCTTAGGTTTCGTAGCCTCGAAAACAAGCTAACTACGGTAGTTAGCGAAAGAACAGAAGATTTACGGGTCATTTAGGATGTTATGTCACGCAGTTTACTTGTGCTTTATAACTTTGCTTTTAAGGACGACCTATTGCTTTGGAAAGAGAGGAAAAAGACCGAAAAGAGCAAATATTCCAAATGTATGGGCAATTTTTTC